GAGAGTCTAAAGACGGACCGAGTATGGACCATAATTACTTTAAATACATGCTTATTCTCTATGTCTTATTCTTATTATCAAACAGAAATATTAGTAATATGAACATACACTTAACTGTATGACTTCACAAGCGATAAAACCACTCATAGAGTACCCTCCCCTTAATCACATATTGATCACTGAACGGCTTGAACACGCAACCCTGACTACAAAAACTACAAAGATAGGTAATACTAAGAAAGTTTAGGCCTGAACTATAAGCACAGAAAAACGAGTACTTTTCTTCCTATCCATACAGGAACGCCGAAAACGATGGCTGGAACAGCTAAACCGGCGATCAGAGTTATTCCTACTGGTGCTCCGAGCAGCATGCCGAGCTGCCAGATGAGTTTCTTCTTGCGCGACCACGGTTTCTTCCCCCAAAACGTACAGCCCGAAGGACTGAACGACACACGGAGAATCACCAACGACGCAAAACGATAGATGCTGCTGCGCTTACCTCAGATAATGCAAATCTGATATTTCTTTCAAACAGAGCCAACAGAACTCAACACCGCACAGTGCACATATCATGTGATTGCACGAACCATCGTTCATCTTTACGATATACGTTTTGCAACGAGGACACGCCTTTATGTCGCCCGCTGAAATGCGAGACAACGCTGTAAACGAGAAACACTATGAGAACTGAGAAAAGTTAGAAACAAAATTCGAAGACAAAACATGGTAATGTACGTAACACAAACAGGTAACTTATCTGCGGCAACGATGATTCAAAGCATTTTCTTCGTAGTCTCTGATATTTCGAAAAACTGAGTACGAGGAGAATGTGAAATGTAGTAATCAGACAGCTAGGTATCGAAATAAAATCGCGCTCTTGCATTGGCATGGTTCAGAAACAATATCCTGACGAAGAAACGCAGCCATAAGCTATCTGAAAGTTTGACGTACTAAACCGCCAATCAACTCTGGCATCAAAAAACCTTACAGTCTGCCGGCCAGTGATCCACGAACCGGCAGAAACAAGATAATTCGTCTGTACGTCGCATGTTTTGCTCTTAATAGTCTCAGCTCGCCTTTTAGCTGAGCACAATGACAGATGAATCACATGCTAGAATAACGTATTATCTTCAGCCGTCAGAGTACTCATAAAGGCCACTGTGAAGCTAAAACTATCAACTTATGACATAACCAGAAAAGATTGCTAGGACACCTCATGCCTATAAGACAAACGCGGAACAGAACCTTCTAAATATAAATTGTACAGAAATATTGAAGGTTGCGTTTATAATTGTTTAAAAAAGGAACTGCTGAAATATTTTCATCACAAAGTCAGTCTTCTAAAAGGAAGATCGAGTGAAAACAGTATCAAACAGTTTATTTATACATAACACTAACAATATGGTAAACCGTGTTTTATGCTGTTTCCTGTATGACAATGAACGCATGAACGAAATAATCGAAGGGGGGAACAGGGCTATAAGATTATCTTTCGTCTGTTACTTGAAGATGGTTTTAAAGTTTATAAACAAAGGTACACACTATGACTAGTAATGGTGTAGTGATGCATTAAAAGCGTTAAAAATCGCACAGGGTTTTTAATAAAAAGAATTTGCGGAAAACAAGATACGTTACTCAAGGATATACAATTAGTAAACAGGAAACGTTAATATAAAAATCATCGACCTACTATGAAGCAATTAAACAAATACAACACGATTCAAAACTGTACGCCTTTTCTGCACAAAAAGAATTACTGGATGGACAATTTCTGAAAAACCTCCTAGTTTGTTAAACAGATAGTTCAATGTTTTACTTGAAATGTATTAATCAAGGTAGTGAAATGAACTGGAACACTATTTAATGTGCTGTTTCTATGAATGAAATGCTACATGCTGAACATTTAATTTTAGTCTTCTGTCCATCCATGAAGGTTCTACTGTTTCTGCATTCTAGGGAATGGAAAAACACACGACGGATAAAGACCTACGTTTCACGGTCATGTCCACGTGGATCGGCAACGTTACGAACGAGCCGCGTTGAGCACGCGCCTCGTCACACGTCTGGTTCGAATGCCATGTCATCTTGCAGTGATAGCAAAACAGCGTACCGCAGTTTGTTCTTTCGCACCTGAGTTTTGGACATGCAGCACAACCGCTGGCAATAACCGCGTAACTGCAAACAAACAGTAATAAAGTTCAAGAGATGAAGAGACGTGAAAGCAACGCTCGACCGAGCGACCGACATGTCACACGGTTCTGCCCCTACTTGCAGTCCGGAGCTGGACACCATCGCGTGTCTTGATCAGCCATCAGAACACGTCGCACTGAGAATTCTTCGTACTTTTCGATCAGCTTCGGATGATCAGCTAGCAAAGTGTAGATGTCGTTCGGGTGGATCATCTCGTTACATTCCGGGCAGTGAATGTTTACGCGGCTCTCTGATATTTCTAGTTCTAGATACTAAAACAACACAAGAAACATATACGATTCACAGTCAAACAAACGAAATCACCTTTTCTCACTAATGAATGGCGAGTCAAAACCGGCTACACAAGCAAAGTGTGAATTACTTACGACAACGCAATATTAAATTTTCTGAACGAGTCGCGCACATCTTTGGCGCTGAAACATTGATGAACAGCCACAAATCCATCATAATTCGAAAAATGTTGGAGAAATGCGGACCGAAGTCCTCCTAGCAATTTATAACCACCCTAGTCAACCATTCACTTGCGCTGTGCTAAATAAACCATCATGTCCTAGTGTCTATATGACTAGCAATGGGACACTAGCTACGCAAAGATTCAAGTGAAAAGTGGAAGATGGATCAACATGCTAATTAAAAAGGAAATTAAATACAATGCTGAACGGATGACGTCCAATAAGAAGCAGGAATAAACGTCAATGAAGAAAACGAATCGCCTGAGAATGCGAAAAAAGACGATGCACGGTTCACATATACTATATCTTCATCATCACCTTCCATCGCCGCTTCTCCTATCGGGTCGCGGAGGCACATAGACGCGTCAGACAGAGCTTCCAACGTTCCCGATCCTGTGCCAGAGTTTGAGCTTCGGCAGAAGACAACAAGAGTATGGAACATACTCCTTTCAAACATTTGCATCAGGCTAATCTTGGCCGTCCCCTGGGCCTTCTGCCGGTCGGATTCGCAAGAAAAGATTGCTCAGCCTTTCTTTCTGGAGGCATTCGCAACACATGGCCAAACTGTCGCAGCTGTGACTTCTCAATCTGGAGAAGCAAAGGTTGAACACAAAAGCTCTTCAGGATGTCAGTATTCCGGACTATGTCGAGACGCATAAGGCCAGTGACACATCTAAGAAAGCCCATTTCAGCAGCTTCTACCCGGGTTCGAAGTTTTTC